AGAAAACAAATTAATCGAGACCAAAAGGGGATGGCCACGAAGGGATCAACAGTGGGAAAGCACGTTTTCCTTCACAAAGACAACATCATATTGTGATGAACACCGGCACCCAAACTCTCCCAACTAAAAATGCTTGACCATTGAAAAAAAAAACTCCCTCCTTCTATCTGTAGTCTGTATCATTCGAAAAGATTATAGTACGTCGTGTCGGCGACAGACATAATACGGACTGGAGATGAGAGTCGACCAACGTTTAGACACACAGAGGCATTGAAAAGCGGATTTAAAAGGAAGTCGACAAAGAATTTCAACCAACACAAGCTGGGGAAGATCATTGATATTCATGAATTTTGAGGACGGTTTTGGTGATCTTTTTGATCTTTTAACGTCGGACGGACCATGATCAAGACCGATCTACTTTTGTAATTGTAGGATAGAGAATTAAAACGGCATACAATTAGACCAAAAAAATTAAAAAAGAAGGTATACACAAAGTTACAAACGTAGATTAGACCCGTGGTCTGGCATGGCGGATCTACCATAGGCCAAGGTGGTCAGTTGAACTGTGGCGGCCGGAAAAGTTATTGATAGTGTCTCCGATGACCCTTTGGTTGTTTGGGTAATAACCACTTCGAGGGCATAAAGTGTTAAAATACATATGTAAGACTCGGCATTTTTCTTTGGGTTAGAAAATGGGGCACAAAACCCAAGCAACTGCAACACGAAAAGAAAAACTTGACTCTAGAGCTAGAACAAACAGCGGTCTTGTGGCCAAGACACTCCAACAGCACTCCGCAATCCTTGTGGTACTGAATATTAATACGTGTAGTCACAGAGTCTCTAAAGGAAAAAGAAAAGGGAGAAGAAAAGCTTACCTTCACGATGCACTGCAACCGACACAAATACATTCATTCCTTCATGAGCTGGTAAGAAAATAACCAAGTTTTGCAGAAAAAAGGTAAATCATCCATGTTTCTTTCTTTCTTTCTTTCTCTCTGAACTTTGTTTTTTATGCATATATAGAACCAATCTAGTTCTAGCTTTCTAGGGTTTCTCTAGATGATCAGATGCACTCTACTCCATCAGATGTAATGATGATCAAGACATCTGAGCTGAAACTGAAAGCAACACACCATCTAACTTCACATAAAAACATAGTATTATCAGTTTTACATTATCTTCTAAAAGGTCGGTTTTTCGCTCATCAGACGCATTAATCTTGTCATCTCAATTTTTCAGTTTTTAGAACTACGTTAATTTTGTTACTGCTCATCCCACCTTGTCGTAGGACCCAACTGAAAGTGCCTTCGGGATTGATACTGGCTAGCTGCAACTTTACTCCTACACTTGAAACAGTATACATTGTGGAGTCAAGAAGCAGTTTGTTTTGCCTTCCCTTCAAAGTTTGAAATGTGATCATGTGTAGACATCATCTGATCCATATGTATAAATACGTTGCCCGAAAGAACATGCATTGTCTTGCAAGTTCAAATCAATGTCATGGATGGCCGCAAAAGAAAAATGACGACACAGAACATTGTTTTGGTGACCATTTTTATGATTTTCATCAGCCATTGTAGCTCTACTTTCTTTGATGCCAGTGGATTTGAGCAATTGGAAACAGTGGTGGAGAACGTCGAAGATCATTTAGCATATCCAAGCACAAATGATTGGTACCCGTAAGATTGGGTTTCTTTTTTTATTTTTTACTTTTATTTTATGTGCATAATGTTTAAGCATACATGTTCCTAATTGTGTAGGGTTGAAGAGCTGAATGATGGAATGGAAGATAATGAGTGGCAGTTGGTGCAGAAGAAAGGGAACCAATTTGTGTTGAATGATCAACCTTTCTATGTGAATGGATTCAACACTTACTGGTTGATGGTGTTTTCTGCCGATCAATCCACAAGGGGAAAAGTCACTGATTTGTTCAAACAGGCAGCTTCGGTTGGACTAACTGTTTGCAGGACTTGGGCTTTCAACGATGGCCAGTGGCGAGCTCTTCAGAAATCGCCATCAGTTTATGATGAAGAAGTTTTCAAGGCAAAGTCCCTAACCACTTGTTTGTTCAATGCTTTCGAGTTACTCCTCGAATTCTAAGTGAATTTCGTACGATGAGTTGCAGGCTTTGGATTTTGTGATAAGTGAGGCAAGGAAATACAAGATCAGACTCATATTATCTTTAACCAACAACTGGGATGCATATGGTGGAAAAGCACAATACGTTAAATGGGGAAAAGCAGCTGGTCTGAATTTGACTTCTGATGATGACTTCTTCACTCATCCAACACTCAAAAGCTACTACAAGGCCCATGTTAAGGCAAGTCGAAAAGCATTATTTACAAGCCTTGATCATCTTACCATCGTCGGTATTGTGCTTAATTTACCTGTCAATTAAGTTTGTAGTGATTATATATTTTTGATATTTCCTTCATGCGTATTTGTTGTTATACTTTGTTGTTGTAGACGGTGCTTAATAGAGTTAATACACTCACAAACATAACTTACAAGGACGATCCCACAGTTTTCGCTTGGGAACTGATGAACGAGCCTCGATGCACCTCAGATCCTTCGGGAAATAAACTGCAGGTTTATGCTCTACAACAAATATGACCGTGTATCTTTGTTTTATCGGAATATATCATTTTCTTGTAGTTAAAGGAATGTTCTGTCTTCTAGGATTGGATACAAGAAATGGCAGTTTATGTTAAGAGCGTTGATCCGAAACACTTGGTAGAGATTGGACTGGAAGGATTTTATGGTCCCTCAGCACCTGCCCGAGTTCAGTTCAATCCAAATACATATGCTCAACAAGTTGGAACTGATTTCATAAGGAACCACCAGGTTTTGGGTGTCGATTTTGCTTCTGCTCACATTTATGCAGACTCTTGGTAACTTTCGAAACTAAATTGTCTTAAGTCCCTAACAATAATTCGAGTATTCAATTTCTGATTGAAGTTTTATAAATTCATCGACGAAGGATATCACAATCAATCTCTGACGTGCATCTCCAATTTACCAAGTCATGGATGGAAGCCCACATTGAGGATGCAGAAAGGTATCTTGGAATGCCGGTGGTGTTTTCAGAGTTTGGCATATCTTCGAACGACCCCGGCTACAATTCATCATTTAGAGACACCCTTCTCAGCACAGTGTACAAGACCATCCTGAATTCTACAAGGAAAGGAGGGAGTGGAGGTGGGAGTCTTTTGTGGCAGCTCTTCCCAGATGGAACCGACTACATGGACGATGGTTATGCGATTGTTCTGTCAAAATCTCCTTCAACAGCAAACATCATAACCCTTCACTCCACAAGACTTGCCCTATTCAACTCTCGATGTTCTTGGAAATGCCGGTGGGGTTGTAAGAAGAAGCATCCAATAGAGGGATTCTTGCTACGTTATGATGAACTGTAAATGCTATATGCTTTGAATTGTCATTTCTTCGTTGACATGTATTATGTGATCTTTTGTGTATGAAAACAACGAAGATGGACTAGCTGAATTAAATAAAAGAAAATTACGTTAACGATACTAGTTGTTCATCAAATCTTAACACCTTGTTCATGGATGAAGAAAATCAACATTTCTATGCAATCTACATGACAGACCGGAAATTGGCACCTTTTCGATGAAATCTACCAATTGAAAACTAACGAAGTAAACTACATTAGTAGCTAACTAACTTGACAACTTATAACTTACTGCCATCCATTAACCATATGATGTGTTAAATGTAATTGTTTACTTATATGCCATGAGTTCTTCACCCATCCCACACTCAAAAGCTACAAGGCCCATGTTAAGGCAAGTCAAAAGCATTATTTACAAGCCTTGATATATCTTGCAAAAGAAGGGAAAATTGGATGAAGACCTCAATCATAGAATACAAGCTCGATGGATGAAGTGGAAGAGTGCATTGGGTGCGTTGTGCGATCGTCGTATGCCACTAAAGCTCAACGTAAAATTTTATAGGACGACAATAAGGCCAACAATGTTTTATGTCACAGAATATTGGATGGTGAAGCATCAACACTTACACAAAAATGCGTGTAGCGAAGATGAGAATGCTTCATTGAATGTGTGGGTTACGAGAAATGACAAGATTAGAAACGAGGATTTCCAAGGTAAATTAGGAGTAGCCGAAATTAAAGATAAGATGAGAGAACATTGGTTAAGGTGGTTTGGACATGTGAAACGAACACCTACAGACGCTCTGGTTAGAAGATATGATTATGAGACAGAGGCTCATGGCCAAAGGGACATAGGAAGACCTAGAAAGACTTGGAAGTAGACTCTAAGAAAAAACTTAGATTACTTGGATCTAACGGACGACATGACACAAAACCGAATGCAGTGATGTTCCAAGATTCATATAGACAACCCCACTTAGTGGGATAAGACTTTGTTGTTGTTGTTGTTGTTGTTGTTGTTGTTGTTGTTGTTGTTTACTAATGCCATGAGTCATATCAATCAATCGTGCAGGCATAGGTTTGTTCACCTGGTAGCTAAATCTCTTGTCAGTATTCTCTGCGGCCAAATCTCTTCTCAGATAACGAGTATATTCTTGAGTTTGGTGGATCATGGCAAGGTCTCTGATGAACGGGAAGCTTTACATAATAGCTCTCATCGCAGGTTGTGCGATAACGTTTCACTTTTCACAAGCCTGCCTTTGGTACAGCTTGCAGGCATGGCTAATGTTTTTCAGCTTCCACCTTAGAATTGGGATTCAAAGTGACGTCTTCCCGGCAACTTGTGTGCTTATACCACGGGAACCACAATGGCTGCTCGGATCTTCTCCATCAGCAATGCGCTACTGGTGCAAGGGACTAGCCCTTCTGGGGTCACTTGCTGCACTTATGATTCTTTGGAAGATGTTCATGTGTTTATCTAGCTGCTTTCGTTTATTTTTCATTGTATCAAGAAGTTAGTATAACATGTTTTAAGCTCTTCATGATCACATGAAAATCATGGACATGGACTTACAAGCTGTAATTTTTGAGTTGATCATGAACAATTTATTTTTATTTATTTGTTCATGGACTAAATGAGCTTTTTCATAGGGAGAGTATTAATGAATTTAAAGTGGATTAACAAAGTAGGGTTTAGGGGATGTGTGTAAACCTCCTCTGCTATAGTATCATCGGTGACGGAAAACATTTATAAAACTCTAATTTGCATTCGATGGCGTGGTAAACTGGAAGCGAAGAGCTTAGCTCACTCGTTGCAAAAATGACAGCATTCATATACTGAGCAGGCAACCCCTTGCATATCTGTGAGCCTCTCCATTCTTGAGTTGCTGTAACAAAAGGAGAGGGAAATAAAATAAGATATTGGCACGTCCCGAGAAGTAATGAACCAACTACAATTACTCAGGCAAATGCATGTACTTACATCTTGAAGTAGTTCACTATTTGGTAAAACTTAGTTTTGAAAGAACTGCAGCTGCCTGGTCACCAGCTAACAAGAAATAAGGATGCCTCAGAGCAGCGGCCGCTGATAAACGCCCCCTTCTAAGAGAACCTCTCTCGGAAACAAGCTTTGTGGCCAGATCCCAGCCTCTACCCGAATCGAGATCAAGAAGTGACAAGTCAGGTCTCAACCGAGTGCAGTCCTTCCATTTATTCAAGTCATATTTAACTATTTTTATCTCTGAATTGAAATTCTTTAAGCCTGCTGAAGACCTTAAGGATGGTATTGCCAATTGCAATAGTATAATTCCAGCAGAATACATATCAAACAGATCAGGACTGTTGAGCTGCAACAATAATCACAACGTCTGATTCATTGCTACGCTTTAAAACGAGAATTCAAGCTTTTTTCTGATCCAGATACCTCCTGCAAAGCAGCATAGCTTTTGATATGTTTGGCATCACAAATAAAGGGTTGAAAGTGTAGTACCTGCCAAAGAACCGGAGAAAGTAATGCAGCAATAGGCTCGGGAGGAAGATTTGGTGTGTCCTCTGGGAGCACATATAGTTCAGGAGGACAAAAGTCAGGGTCTAGCAGGGTGCAGTCTGGTATATAATTCTTTCCAATCCGGAGGTCAGTGGCTGCCCCGAAATCTATGAGCTTGATCTGTCCCTTCTTCGTCACTACTAAGTTTGCTGGTTTTACATCCCGATGAACAATGCCCGTGTCATGGATTTTCTTAAGCGAAGTAATAATTTGACGCATTATTTGCTTGATGATCAATGCACTGCGTCTGACGGAGTCTACATCTTGCAGGACACGTCCAAACATGACAGACTCTAAGTTAAAAGGGAATTTCCTATCTTTCATGTAATCATCAAGGTTTTGGTTTCCCTGTCACGGATTCAACATCACATGTAAAACAGCACTGAGTTCTTAATAATCATATATATCAGTCTGTCATGGATTTATCTAAATAATTTGAATATAGAGCAAAATGCTTTAGATTTTCGAACTCGTGATCCATGAATGCATAGAGTACCTCGAATTTCCAAACGAGCCACTTTCCACCCTTTGTAAACTGTGACTTTGTTTTATCAGCAACGAAACTTCCCAAGAACGCAGCACATGTTTCAGGTGCTGCTCTAGACAACCTGTAATTGAACCACTCCTCGAATTCGCCAAAATCTTCAGCCCCTTGAACACCAATCTTCACCTGCATTTTTCCTTGCCCAAAAAAGTCCGATCAATCTTTTTACACATCACAGAAAACACTGATAAACAAGTAATGGTCAAATCTACAAAGCCACCAATAAAAGAAAACGATTAACAAAATTGTAGTACCTTAGAAACTATGCAAAAATAAAACCGGTTAGATTTTGACTAAAAGTCTGCAGGCGGTTCTATTTGTGCATATTTCCCAAAACCGTAAGTAGTAATATCATACCATGATAAATCACGGAATAACCTACTTACCTTCTTCAGGATGACCTTCTCCTTAAACCTCTCATCCAACTGTGGAGCCCTCCCCATTCCTCTCCTCTGCACAGTCTCCTCGACATTCACATTCTTCGGAACAACTGCCCCGGAATAAACCACACCAAAAGACCCTTCTCCCAATTTTTCCCCGATCACAAAACCCGTCCTTTTCAACCTCCTCCTCCCAGTCAAACTATCCAACCCCAACTGCAGAGGAGCAAGAAGGTATGCATCAATGGCGCCAATGAGAATCCCCGGCCTTGCGGTCAAGTATATCCAAGTAATCCCAGCAAAAACAAGGAAACCCCATTTCTGTGTTTCTGACAGCTCTTCTGTAATTCTCTCAAACTGCATGAAACCATATTGCAGAGGAGGAAATTGGTCCAAATGGAGGGTAGTTTCCATAAGATTTTCAGGGATTTCGCCGAAGAATGCATTGCATCTGTGAGGGGAGATTCTGAGTTGGGTTGTGAAGCAGCAGAGATTGTGAAGTGAAGAGGGTTTTGAAGGAGGGAAGCATGCAGGCTTAGGGTTGTGTTTACGTGTGGATAGACTTGGAGAGTGCAGATAGGCCATGCTTGTAGTTTGCTGTAGAGGTTATGTTGTCTAGTGTGAACTTTTTGTTTTGTTGGAGAACTAGTAGAAGCGTCAGCAACGGCTGACATTTTGACACGTGTACTCTGATTTATCCACATGTGAAATTTGCTTCCGAAAATGCACAAAAAATTTGGAAAATAAGAGAAAACATGAGAAAAGAACATTGCTGTAAGAAAATTGGCTCCTGATGACGATTTGTGGTCGTCTATCGAGAGTTGGATGATTATTTTGGAACATTAATAATAATTCTTTTTATATGTTATTTTACGATATTACCATAATATCTCACAAATTTAAATAAAAAGTAAAATGCTAACATTCAGAATTCAGAATTCAGCAAATGAAATGTGTCTGCAAAGATTTCATATTTGTCTAATCTCAAGAGAGGACTGCTTAAGGAAATCTCTCTCCCGGATGCTGCTTTCAAGCAACTTACATAAGTTCATAGTTAAGAAGATTCTACAAGGGAAAGGATAAGAAAGGTCGAAAAACTTGCATCTTGGGACAACGCACGCTAGCGAATGTCGTCTACTTCTGGAGAAAAGAGGAGACCGGCCTAACATAACTGAAGCCTGTGAAGGGGTTTCCAGCAGCATTCGGGCTAGCGGCTGGGGAATCCACAACTGACATGTCGGTCCAGCACTTATCAAAATTGGCGATGCAGTGCCTCCCGGCAACATCTGGGCGAAAGCTTGGTTGGATTTGCCGAGCCTCCAGTTTTTTCCAGTTTATTGGCTTGAACCATTTGTGGCGCTTGATGTCCTCACTCCCCAAAGGCCCACGACCGAGGCGCTTGGTTGGATCCTTCTGCAGCAGCTGAAAACATAACCAGGCAAAGTCAGTTCTCTCATAGTTAACTAAAAACATCAATTGAAAAAGGCTCAAAAGAAAGACTCGAGGATCAGCATTGACGTTCCCAACCACAGACTAAACAAAAACAAAAGGCATTGATCTTTTCATATCCAAAGTAGCCATCATCTTCATTTTGAAACTATTGGGTTCTACTTAAAGTGATGGCTCATAATATTCTAGATTCAATACATAGATTAACATAGAAGGAAACCCCGTCATATAGTAGCAGTAAGTAATCCATACGAAGGAAGCTCCGTCTTATTGTTGCAGTAAGTAATCTCATACAAAAGCTGAAACTATCCAGAAAAAAGGTTGATCGGGGTAGATGAATATATACCGCTTTCAACAGTGAATGTGCTTCACTTGACAAAAAGGAAGGCAACTTGATCTTTTCCTTAACTATCTTCTGCTGAATTTTCTCCCTGTTCCCAGTAAAAGGAGGCTGCAAAAGCAAGAGCAATGATAAATTAATTTCATGTTTGATGCTATTAGCCATAGAACAAATGCTCCAACTTCTAAGATCCATATTGACATAAAAAATAAGGACACAATTCCTAAAGTGCATTTCTGTGCGTGGGTTACCCAATTAACAAACAAAATATTTTTCTTCATTTTCATTTTTCGCAGAAGTTTATTCATCGTGGATGAGATGTCCAACATAAACAGTACATACAGACAATATGACAATTAGCATAAGAAACAACCATGGATCCCCACCTAATAAAAACAAATTTCACAAACAATGGCCTTCCATTATAATAATTTTTGTCATATCTACAAGAATATAATGATTTTTGAATTGAAATTTAGACAGAATTTCCACCTGACCATGAAGAAATTCTCTCTATATCATCGTGATCTATAAGAAGAAAATGAATAAAATGCAAACCTTTCCAGTAAGCATCTCAAACAATAGGACTCCCACACTCCACCAGTCTGCAGCCTTATCATGTCCCTTTCCAAGAACTATTTCGGGTGGCATGTATTCTACGGTTCCACACATAGAATTAGATCTTGTGTTCTCTTCAAGTTGCTTCGCAAGACCAAAATCAGTCAACATGGCCTGTTTAATAAACCAGTGATCATGACGTCAGTTAGACTTCATAGGGAGCGATTAATCAGAACAATAACATGGAGAGAGGGAGGTGGAGAGAGATATATACGTGGCCATCTGCATCCAAAAGGATATTTTCAGGTTTAAGATCCCTATGCATTATTCCATTTGCATGGAGGTGAGCAACCGCAGAAACAATCTCAGCAGCATATATTCGTCCCAGCTCCTCTCTGAAAATAAGAAAAACTAGTATTAAGTGTCTGCATATTTGAGCTTATAAATAAAAAAAATATTGGAGGTCGAGACAAAAGGTACCTAAAAAGGCCATGGTGATAGAGCTGAAAGAAGAGGTGACCACCATTAACGAAATCCAGCACAAGATATAGTCTATATTTGGTCTGCATAACAAATTAAACTAAGTTAGTAGTCTAGTCATCATTAAGAAAGTCACCAAACCAGCACATTGGGTTGAAATATCTCAATTGATAGTATCTTTTGAAAGATACTTTTTTTTTTTTACCAACATGGATTCTCGTAAGTCTCATATAGAAAAGCAGATCAGAAAAAGGTAAATAGGAATAAATACTTCCAGAGCCGGGCAGTAAATACCTGAAATGAGTATCTAAGTTGGATAATGAATGGATGATCAATTTTTGTTAAAATATCCCTCTCAGCTTTCATGTATTCGGCATGATTCTTCTCCATGATCTTGTCCTTTCGCATGACCTTCATTGCATATATTTCTGATGTCCCCTTCTTCCTCACCTGATATACTTTTGCAAATGCACCCTGCCCAACAACTTTCAAAACCTCAAAATCTTCAATGCCTACACTCTCGATCTTCATGGGGTTTTCATCAATAACTTCAAGAGGCTTTTCATCGACACCAATAAAAGGTTCCTGAAATTCTTTGATGGTGTCTCCATTGACACACTCTACCAGTTCCACTGAATCTTCTGTGTCATTTATGGTCAGTTTGCTGAGCTTCAATGATTGGTTTACAAACGATGAGGGGCCAACCAAAGAATGTGATCGGTTGTGAATAACCACTGGATCGTCATAAATAAGATCAGTTGCATCTTCAATCGAGGCAGAATTAGCCACATTCACTTCTACTGAAGCCTGAACTGGTAGAGGGCCAAATACATCATCAAAATCAAGCTCGAGGTGATCTGAAACTGCAGCATCCACTGTTCCCATGGAAAAAAGCAACTGGGTCTGAATTGGTTTGCACATGTGGGCCTTGGTTAAACCAGGTAGCTGAGAGGAAACCATGTTTTCAAGTATAGAGCAGGGATGCAAACTTCAGTGAAAAACCCTTGAATTGATCCCTGCTATCGATTTACCTATCCAAAAGTCTCAACGGCCAGTGCTCTAGACGGACACCTGTCAATTGCCAAGTTCACAATTGCAAAGGGGGTTCCTAGGAACTTTGGCAATAAACAGAACAAAATCCAGACGAAGAAGAGGTTATTCTTGTTTCCCGATTTACAGGAAAACACGGATGCTTCAGAAGTTCTTGAATTCATGAAGAGCAGGCTGTCAAATCTGAGTTCAACACCACACACAAGGAAAAAAATCAAACTTCGTTAGTAACTTTGTACCATGAGACCAAAAAGAACTCAAAAACAAACAGGCGTCACTAACATGATAACATGATCTTCACAACAAAAATAAATAGCAAAATTCAAATAGAAGAATCCGAAAGTCAAATATGACTTTAGTTTAACCTGCTTTATAACATAAATCACATCAAACAAAACCCCTACTCCAGTTTTTATATCAAAAGTTTGGTTAATAACCTTCATGCTGAAGTCTGATTTCTCTCCAAAACTTATTGGAATTTCCCATATTATCCTAACAACGTCATTAACTATTTGTTCCCTCCAAAATTTATTTCCCTCCAATAAAATTTCGACTCGAAACATATCGAGGAATCCCAAACACTTAACTTGTTTGCCAAAATGTTTAGCGAGAATTCGAATCATTCGATATGCCATTCGGTGCATAAAAAACATACAATCAGAACCAAAACTAAATCGAAAAGAATACATAATACGAACCAAAATTAATGCGTGAATCAAAACGCATTACGATAAAAGCAACCCAGAATTCGAAACCGCAGAAATTCCAGACTGGGAAGTCGAAATTGGATGAAGGAATCCAAAGTTTTCAGATTTCAAGCTACGATTGTGTAATCCGCCGTTCTAACGACAAAAGAAAAGCAATTCATCCCAACAATTACCAGATCCCAAAACCACCGCACAATTATTTAATATAACCGAAAAAACGAAACTTTAGATCTAAAAAAAGGTGGTTGTTTCAGGCTAAAAAACTCAAACTTTCCGTCACTTTCCTACCGTTTCTCGGAAACCAAACAGAAAACGTAAAACCCAGAAGGATTAGAGAGAGAGAGAGATTGATTTGCTTACTTGGGAAGGATGCAGACGGAGCAGGAGAGGGAGGGACAGAGCAGGTGAGAGAGAGGAGGGAAAGAATGGAGGTTTTGTTGTAAACGCTGTTTTCACGAATCCTGGAGCGGAGGGGACGCGTCGCCGCTTATATTTTCCAGCCACGAATTTTTTTTGGATCTCCGAATTTTGACGATGGCGACGTGGCGGGAGGGGATTGGTTGTCGGACGAGTTGCCAAGTTGCACCTGATTCCGGTTTTCTGAAGGTGCTTGTGGGAATATGCTTTTCTCCGATTGGTTGTTCGCTACGAAGGCGTGCTTTGACCATGCGTCTACGATTGGGTTTTGGTTGCTTCGGATAAAATTAATATTTTTAGGGAGATTATTGACACTAGCCTCTCTGCACGCACTAGCGTGCGTGCGAGAGGCATTTTTGCATCACGAGCGCTACGCGCCCCTAAATGTGTATTGTGTTAGTTTTTTTTCATTGTAATTGTTAATGTATATGCTTTAGAAAGTATAGTACCAAGTATGGAGGTGAAGGGTGAAATCTAGAAGATGGCTGCACATAATTGGAAGCAATAAATTTGAAGCTGTTTACGTAAAAATTTTATCACTTACCAAGTTTAACTGTTATTTTAATATTTTAATCTAGAAGATGGCTGCACATAATTGTAATTGTTTTTATATTTTTCCCTTGACTATTATAGTTGAACTGTTATTCCAAGTTTACATAAAAAATTTATCACTTACCGTTCCAGACATATTTCTTTCCTTTTTTTTTTTGTTTTTTGTTTTTTTTTTTTGTTGGGGTACTTGTTAAAACGTTGGTCACTGTGGTAAATATATACAATCCGAATGTTGAAATTGTTATAGACATAACAGAATTATTAAGTGGATGTTTCCATTGGTAGTACGAAAGGCAATGACAATGTAAGATAACTATTCGTTCAATCTTAATAGATGTGTCTTAATAATTTGTACAAAAATATTCATACAACGTATGAATTTACAAATATATAATTAATAGAGACAAAAAAAATAAGAAATCATAGTTACGTCCTATGTCATCTTGGTTTACTTCCGTTTGATTTTGTACTATATTTACTGAGTTCAATCGTGTTTGATAATTGGCACGTCGTCGCATTGAAATTTGAGCCCGATGTGATGAATTCATAGATTGTCGTCTTTGCCTTTGTTGATTGCTCCTACGATAACTTTGATTTGACTGTTGAGAATTTTGAACATTTGTTTGTCCGAAGTGAATTTCTTCATTGTCGACCGACATTGAGAAATTGCCAAAAAGAATGAATTTTATTTTATTTTTGAAAAAGAAGAAAAAATAAATCATCTCTACAGAAGAGGAATAATACAAATAAGGTAAGAACCTCTGACATATTGCGTCTATCAATTCCCTCCATAGTTGATATGTTGAAGTCCTCTGGAAATCTTAAAACTGAAATTTCAATTTGGATGATTCTTAATAAAGGTAAAATTGAAGGAAAATATGGAAACATAGCATTGAAATTCAACAATGGAAAATGATGCTTATACAAATTAGATCACAGTTAAAAGATTCATGAAATGTACACTATCGAATTGACATAACACATAACATTGGGGATTTCGAAAAGGAAAAAACAGACTAACACAAACTAATAGGACGGAGCCGAACATATACCACCATAACCAAAATTAAGACAGTAGGCATTAACCCATTTGCAGATCCAATTAAGCTAATTTTCCTGAGCTTCAACCACGGACCCATTCATGAATCCCTAAATTTACCCAATCTTAACAACTTGAAGAATTTAGTACAAAAATTTAACCGAGCAGTAAACTTCGAAAGCAAAAAGAGTTACGAAAACAAATAGAAAACAAAATGGTTAACATACAACAAAATTTGTTGCCTCTAGATTTGCAAGGAAGCAAAATCTTCAGCTGATGCAAAACCTATGTCGTTTGGTTAATCACAAACGTTTCTTTTATTAGCAATCATCACAAACGCCGACAGAAAAAGACAACTAAAGGACATATTTCTCACCGCAACATATAAATTGAGAAAAAAATGGAACAAATATAAGTTAGAAAGAGTACAAAGCAAGAAATAATGAAGAGAAATACCTGGAAGGCACTGGAAGAGCAGAAGAAGTAGGATTGCAGTGGCACCACCCACCCTCTCTCGCTCGCCGATTCCTATTCGGTTTAGTGTGCTCTAATAAGCCCAGAAATCTCAACACTCAGACAGAGACAAATTGTAGAAACATATAAGAAAGCAAATATAGGATCCCCAACATCTTACATGGAACTTGGTAGTATCAATGGGTGGACTTCTTCTTATCTGCATAATTTTCGTAAAAAAATAATCAAATTATTTAAACTGAAACGATAAAGAACAACTTTGAAACCAAAACGTACGGATGATTTCTTGCCGCTAGATTTCCAAGGAAGCAAAATCTTCAAACTGTCCTGGATATATAAAAAAAATAAAAAGAAGAAGAAGTGGAGTGGTTGTGTGTGCAGAGAGACGAAGAGGGTTAAAACTGATCCCAATCAGAACAACCTGTATGGGAAAAGAAGCAAACAGAGTTTCACCTTTCCCTCGCTAAAATGCTTCCTCTCTTTTCTCCTTCTCCTTCTCTCCAACCCAAAACTGTAAAACACTTCCAGTAAAATCAAATTAAAGAATCAAACCCAGGAACAAAATCACAAAAAAAAATGAGAGAAATTCGAAAGGGTAATGGAACCCTAGTTTTTTAAATTGGGAAGTTGGGTACCTGGAGAAGATGGCAATGAAGGCGACGGTTTAAGTCACAAATAGCTTAATCGAAGCAAGATCCAAATGAACAACAAATGGGTAACTGAGATAGAGCGAGAGGAAGATCGGAGCTTACATGAAAGTTGCTGGTGCGGTTGGATGCTGCTCCCTTTTCAGAGCTTCGACTCTGGCAATTGAAATCAAATACAAATTATCATCTCTTTGGGTTATTTCTCCTATTAATACAATAAATACAAAAGTCTATACTGATGAAACAAATAAAAATAAATAAAAAAATTGAAAAACCAAAAAGTGTATACCTCGGGATTAAATCTGTGGTGGTTTGGAGAGGATAGATAGTTAGATGGGAGGAGCTAGTGACAGGAGGTTCGGCTGGCGGTGGCCGCGGAGGAGGGAGAAAGAGAGGTGGCTGCGAAGGAGGGAGAGAGAGAGAGTTAGTGAGAGACGGATCCAGATTCCAGAAAACAGGATCCCGTAGTGGGTTTTAATTCTATCGGCATGGCAAGATAATGGGGTTTCAGTTCGCAAGATAATGGGTTTCAGTTTTTTCACGGAAGTTTTTTCCTTTTGTATTTTTCGTGTTTTTTCCCTTTTTTTTTGAAAACTGCCGAACGTGTATATTTTTTTTTCTGACGAAATTAGCCTTGGGGTTTTTATATGTATTTTTTCTGTCAGTTTTGATTTTTTTTGTTTGAGGGGTTTTATAGTCCAATTTTTTTTGGTGAAGCCTTAAGACACCAAACTCTCCTTCTCGTTTTCTAATATTAAAGATAATCATTCAGGAAAATTAATTTTGTAAATCATGTGATTGTTGATCGATCCTCTTTGTGAGAATCTCGAAGATCCTTTAATTACGTTCATTTATCGTACATCATGCGATAAAAAATCATTGTTAATTTTTTTTAATTGAATTTAAATATAACCTGATCAAAACTGGCGGCACGATGTACGATAAATGGATGTGATTGGATGATCCCTGGATCCTCACAAAGAGGATCCTCATTCGATTGTTAAGTGTGGATTAATGTGTTATTTTCTATTTAATTTACGTAATTTAGTTTTAAAAAGTGTATACAATTGAGAATTTGAGAGATTTTAATGGATTTATAAATCCATGGAGTTTAAGAGAGTTTAATTGATTTGTAGAGATCCCATGAAATTACATTTTTTTTCCCCATATTTCTTATTCATATACTGTTTAAATTAGAGAGTTAAACTGATAATTTCATAAGGTTTTGGTTGACAATAAGTGTTTTATTAATTAGTAGGGATTATTAGGTTTATTTAGTTGTAAAGAATTGAACTTTTAATTTTTTTGTTGGAAGTTTTAGGGTTTTTTTTTTTTTTTTTATGGAAAAGATGTTTTATTCAAATACTAATAGATGGTGCATATTGAACTTCATAAAAGCTATTCAAAGCTCAAACGTGACAATCAAAAATTAAAGCTACGTCTTTTAAAAAAACAAGTTGTCTTAACAACTATCATGGAGCAAAAAAATAAAATACAAAATACAAACCAACATCGTAAACCTAGTCATGTACAACTCAAACGAGGACTTTGAAGGAGTTTACAACCTTGCCATTTAATAGTTGTGAGGGAAGATGTAGCATTCCCATTTGCCATCCCTTTGTGGCCAACACCAGTTAATAAACTACTACACTTCTACATATAGCTACCATTTTTGGTAATCTCATGCTAATTTGCTTTCGTTCCTACAAATTTAATCTTCCCTTGAAACAATCGATTATTGTTTTGTATAAATTTGATTTAGCGTTTGATCAGTGTTGTTTTTTGTACTTTCATTCGTTGTACTTGGAGAATGTTGTAAAAATGTGGCTGATTCAAGATAGCAACTTAAAGATGCATTAGCATTTGTCCTTCTAATTTTGTTTTGTATGTTTGTTTGTCGAAAATGTTATGATAGCGCATCTGTTTGGATCAAAACTTAAACTTTAGGCTCGGGGGAAGTTGGCCCAAAGAGCAGCCTAAAAAGAAGAAGGCCAGTCAAAACCCAGCCAAAGCCCAGAAGACAGGAGAAGCCCGTTTCTGACTAGGTGCAGGCCATGCAGACCACTTGCTCACCTACCCAAAGGCCAAGTGGTATAGACCAGCCAGCTAATCAGCCCAAAAAGTACTTTTAAATGGCAATACAAGTAAATAGCTGATGAGTCACTATCCTTCAAACTACATTCAGGCAAGATTATTGCTACAGGAGGCCAAGCCAAGATGTCTATAAAAGGAGAAAGAGAAGTCAGAATCAAGGACACTCAAACAAACAAACAAAAACACAAACTCTGCTCAAAGCCAGATTTGCTTTCAAAACGAAGCTGTAGTCAGCCCAAACCTTCATCCATTTCGGGATAAACCCTTTATAATAGCTCTGCTACCCTGTTTAACTCTTGCTGTAGTATCGATTTTCTTTCTGTAAACTCACCTCCC